TATTATTATAGGTAAATGAGCCAGCAAAGAATATATTTTTATGTGGTTTTGGATTTCCATATCATTCTTGTATCAAGAAGCTAATCCTACGCTTTGGATTCTTCTCCACAAACAGTGATGAAGTGAAAGTGTCCTTTAATGACAAAATTATTAAAATTTTAAAGCTTCAATAAGTTTAGTTTCGAAATCTAACATAAACGGCTTGGTCTCCATTCCTGTAGATAAGTACTGTTTCTGTTCTTGAAAAACTATGTTATAAACGTTGCACTTTTTGTTAGGCAATAATATGAAAATAACAGGACCTATTGACGTTTCACTATCAGTCGGAAATCGATTGAAAACTTTTTTGTGACATTTTCTTGCCGGCAAATAATCTACCTAGGTAACCTTATTATTTGAAATCTTTAAAACTTGTTTATCAAAGAATTTTCATAGATATTGGTAGGTATAGTTAATATTTATGTATTTAATAATAGTTAATAGTTTAAGCTGGAATAACATTTCCGGTTTAAATTCGGGATTTATTTTATTCGGTTCTATTTGTATCAGTTTTTTCCACGAAATAGATTAAATGTTTTACACAATGTTCCTAATAGGAATTTAGGATAATTATGATTATAGTGGATAAGTGACTTTTACGGGAATGGAGCTACTAGTAATTACCATTCATAGCTCCACCCCTATTCGCGATGTTGCCATACTTAGCAGGAGCTCTCTTTCTATGTTGTTCTCTCTCGCGCAAAAACTGGGCAAGTGACCGGTTTAAGTACTTTATAAAAAATATTTAATGCTAAACAGGCTCGTATTATTTATTTGTGCGAAATTATTGCACTCGTTACCCGTATCTCCAGCCAGTGAACTTGAGGTAAAAGTTTAAAATAGACACAAAGTAAAGTACTAAAATCTCTTAGTATGTATACCATATATTACTGGAATATCGTCTGACACTAATTAACAATAAAAACAAAACGCACAAAATTTTATTTTTGAAAACAAAGCGACATTTTTATTAATTTTTGTCTTAAAATTAGGTGAGAACTCTCCTCCTTCCTCTTGTCAGAAAGGTTAGGAAACACCCTGTATTTTATATTCATTCAACCAAGTAAGAACATTGCACGGATATGAAATCCACCAATCATGATTTATATTTGGTCACCTGGCCACTATTAACTTTTTTTTTAATTTTAAATTAGTGGCAATTCTGTCAAACTAATTTGATTTTGTATATACAGGGTGTTTTTAAATTCATGCGACAAAATTCAGAAGGTGATTGCTCGTATAAAATTAAGATGGGTCTTTCCTATAACAAGATTTTCTTAGTCCACCCCTCTCCGAGATATCACCCTTAAAAGGTGGTGACTAAAATTGAGTTTTTATTTTTTTTCTAAAATTTCAGTAAAGCTAGAAACTTGAAATTTTGTAATTTTCGTGCACTCGCAAAGGACTAACCACGGGTATTTTTTCAATATTTTTGTTACATTATAGGGGGGGGTGAAATTAGCAACCCTTACTTTATTTCATATCAAAAGTTTTTTTCGAGGTGAAGTTTTATGCATAAAAATTATAATTTGAAATGCTTTATTTAAATTTTTTTTTTAATCCTAAATTTTTTTCCAAAACCAATAGCTGCAGAGAAACAAAAATAAACACCATCATTTATAATTTTTTTTAATAAATTGAGTGGAAAACAGTAAAGATGTAAAATGTAATACGATTCATAATAAATGCTGGAAATCGCCACCTCTAGCCAAAATATAATTACAGAATTTCAAGTTTCTAGCTTTACTGAAAAATAAAAACTCAATTTTAGTCACTATCTTTTAAAGGTGATATCTTGGAGAGGGGTGAGCTGAAGAAATTTTGTTATAGAAAAGACCCATCTTAATTTCATACGAGCAATCACCTCCAGAATTTTGTCGCATAAATTTAGAAACACCCTGTATTTTAGTTATTGATAATAAATTTTATAAAAAAGAATCGATTAACACCGGTACACAAAAAAAAGTTGTTTGTACATCAGACACGACCTACCTACCGGCATGTATTTTGACCCGCTGAATCCAAATTTCAAGTCAGTTTGGGCCGTCCACCCTTCAATATCCACCCTTGCAATATCTCTAAAAACTTAAATTAAATTGACTTGTGAGAAATAAAGGACCTTTTCTTAACCCCTTACACTTAATCTCTAAAAACTGCTGTATGAACTGAATGAGGCGAAAGATTTTCTCAGATTTTGAACTGTTTTTTGTTTATATCAAACTTTTTTGTTCTCAAATGACCTCCGCAGTATTCAGCGGATCGAAATACATAAGAATTATGCTTGGTTTCGATTCATAAATTTTTTTATTACTAATTATCTTATTTTTACTATTTTTACAATTTACTCGATATTGAAGGGTTGATGGCCCAAACTGACTTGAAATTCGGATTCAGCGGGTCAAAATACATGTTGGTAGGTAGGTCGTGTCTGATATACAAACAACTTCTTTTTTTTTATGTGCCGGTGTAATATTTTACATCATAAACGATTTTAATTACAAAAAAAATTAGTAAAATACATTTCATTATGAGTATTAAAACGAAAAATTTAGGTATTTCTATAGAGCTGAAGGTAGCGTACTAAATTGCCAAGCGAAAGGTCCGGGGTTCAAATCTATGATTAAAGATCAATTAAATTAAATTATTTTTTTTTTCAAGTTTATTCTGTTTTATAAATTAGCCACTTAATGTACACATTTATTTTGATTTTTTGGTCAAAATATGATTGAATTTTTTTAAAGTGAAAATTTAGTGTTCATACTTATTAAAATAAAAAAAAATATTTTCAGTGGCGTTGCAACTGTACTTTACCTAGTGTGAGGAGGGGGCAAAATTATAAATTGTATTTTAATTTTAATAATTGGGATAAAAAATTTAACATTAAAATAATTTTAGTTTTTCTACACTTTAACCTTTTTACATACGTTTAGATTCAATATTTCTATTAAATAAACTCTGTAGACCCCTTATAATTCCTTTAATTATTATGTCATTACCAAACTAGTAAAAGAAGAAAAATACATTTAAAAAAAATGAAATTAGATTCACATTGCGCGATTATAAAATCGACGAAATTCTAATTTTACGTTAGTCAAACAGCGACATCTTCCGAATATTCCTTTCACTTGTACCCCGGAGCACTGATTTGATTAAACCTTTGTCGTTTTCGGATCTAAAAGGGGATGAGTTTAATGCATGTAAAGTAATTCATCGTTTTGTGCGAAATCTTGATGCCTTCTTCAACCTCCATTGTATAAATTTCCTATTTAACTTTCACGAGCCGATGATGAGCTAACGTCAAAGTTTTGTGCACTTGAGCAATTTACCGGATAAAAATGACGTCGACTTTGAATAGGAATCCCTCTTTTGCATTAAATGAAGTGAGTTTGATCCTTGGACCAAAATTTTTAGCACGAGAAAATTTGTCAATAATTTAATTTTATGCATCAATTTGTGATAATTAGAAAGCGATACCTATATTGTCAAGCCACTTATATGAAGATGTTAATTATAAAATAGCTCTATTATTTTGATTTATATAACATACTCTATGTTGAAAATGTTGTCAAACTGTTACAGTTTTAAAAATTAACAATTTTGAAAAAAATGATCTACCAACCTAAAATGTAAGTAAGACAAATTTGATTTCAAATTAAAATTCATATCAGGCATTTTTGTTTGACATTAGTCAAAATTAAAAAGAAATTAAACATAAAATTTTAATACAAATGTGTTTTTCTAATTTTGACATATGAAGTGACATCTTCTGTAATCGCAACGATCTATTTTATGCAACTATTTTTTATTATGTCACCAGTTGCGAAAATAAAACGAATAAAATTAATCTTTTTAAAATCAATACAGTATTATACTGATATGAAGTCGGTCACTAACGCGTCTCCGATACCAAACTTTTACTCGTTTAGGGTGGGTTTACTTTAATTTACAATGATCCAAAATTCAAATGACAAGTTATAATTTGATAATGAAAATAAAAGTACTTTGAAATTCTCTTTCTTTTTGAGACTACCAGGTTGTTGGATTTGTAGGTTTCTAACAGTTAAATCCAACAAAAATTATAAGTATGGTCCTAAGGCGCGCTTACCAAATGGACAGTCTCCTGTCGGTGCTAGCTGCAACCATCTCTATATGAACTTTATAAAAACCAATTTATTGTGCAAAAACTATCTTTGCTGAGAGACCTTAAGTGATTTGTATAAAACAGAAGAATTTTCATGATGCTAGTGAGAGCCAATCTGTATTTCATGAAAGCACCGACCTCCCTGTCGCTTTGTGTTGTTTTAAATAAAGAGATACATATCTGATTACGTCACCTAGTTAGCCTTTAGTTTTTCGCGGCGGAGTCACTTGGCGCACCCTTATTCCTGTCAGGTACACACTTGTTCTTGGCCGTCAAAAATGAACACCTGGGTTCGCGAGCATATGTTATGATATGATATGTTTCAAATGGTTTTAAAACACTGGTGTACGCCCGATTTGATTCTAAATTTCCTGCTTTATCTTCTAATAAATTCGAATTATTCTTGATAATACGTACATAATATTCAAAATCCTTCTTACTTGTTAAGACCAAAATTATAGTTCATAAAAAAATGGAAACTGTCATTTTTGAAACAGTAATAAAATTTCTTAATTAAATAAATCTCCAAATTAAAAATTATTCAAAAAAAAATCGTAAATCCTTAAAAAAATACACAGTTTCTTTACAAAAATCAACAATTTTCTTTTATTAAACAAATTACATCAAAATACAGAGTGAGTACAAACCACATCCCCAAATTACCATATCCCCTAAATTTAATGTCAATTTTAAAACAAGAAACACTATTAACATAATAACTAATAAATATACATATCTTGGATATGAAAAACACCTTTTATTCTGTCTTAATCTTTATATCTCAACATATCTTCTTCATTATTGTTCACCACGTAAATACCTTCAAAAGGAAATTCAAATTTTCCACATACATTCATCTTTTTATCCCATAGTCTTAACGTTTTCACAACTACCACATCTTCCATTTTAAATATAGTTCTCTTTCTTATTCTTATAATCACTCGTTTCATATCTTTAACTTTACTCTGACTTGTTCCAAACATACTTCATACACTTTCTGCTCATTATCTATACATCTTCTTTCCGAGAAATCGCTCCTGTCATTACATACATACGGCTTTCATCTGTTACTGTATTTGGCAGTTCATAAAAAAACTCCTTAGCTGTTCTACACATCGAGTACGGTGGTGTAGCGGTCTAACGCGCTTATATTCATTTATAATAATAATAATAATAATAATAATAATAATACTCTCCCTAATTCATCCCCTTACGAGTGAATTTTAACCCCAAAAGCTGAGCTTGTCCGGGGAAAGGGACGGCTATTATTATTATTTGCCGTGGCGCTCCGGGGCGACTTAAAGATGATTGATGGTGCCATTTGACTTACAGGTGAGGAAAACCCGGAAAACCTCACCCACCATCATCGAGACGGTAATGTATGGCGAATTTTTTTAATCTGCATGTCATATCAACAGAAATTGAATTTCTATTAATACGCCACACATCAAATCCTAAATCGAACCATGCAATTTAATTAAAAATCCACATGGTCTGGTCTGGGATTCGAAACCCAGCAGTCTCAGACTCATAAACTTGCCTATAAATGAATATAAGCGCGATAGACCGCTACACCACCATGCCCGACACATAAGCAAGTTTATGTGTCAGAGACTGTTGGGCTTTGAATCCCAGACCAGACCATGTGGATTTTTAATTAAATTGTATGGTTCGGTATAGGATTTGATGTGTGCCGTATTAATAGAAATTCAATTTCTGTTAGTATGACATGCAGATTAAAAAAATTCGCCATACATTACCGTCTCGAAGATGGTGGGTGATGTTTTCCGGGTTTTCCTCACCTGTAAGTCAAATGGCACAATCAGTCATCTTTAAGTCGCCCCGGAGCGCCATGGCAAATAATAATAATAGCCGTCCCTTTCCCCGCACAAGCTTAGCTTTTGGGGTTAAAATTCACTCGTAAGGGGGTGAATTAGGGAGAGTATTATTATTATTATTATTATTATCTATCCCACTCAGTATGATCATCATATACTATTAATATTAAAAATGTATTAACTTCCTTTAGGTTCCTCTCTGCTGGGATTTCAAAAGGATATCTTAATCCTGATCAATAATTTAATATTATTTTTTGTACAAAATATTTCAAATCTAACATTCCGAAAATATGTTGCATTGTCTATTATGATACTTTTAGTTCAATATTTCACTAAAAATGTTTCTGAAACATGTTATAAATGTTACACAAAAGGTTACAATATGGGTTATATTGTATAAGGCCAAGGCTTAATAAAAAAATTTTCATTTGTAAAAAGAAGAAAATGGTTATGTTTTAATTTTATTCCACAGATATTGAGCAACTTTTTAACTAATAGACAGGCTAAAAACTTTTAAGAAGGTGAAAAAAGGATACCTCTAAAAATTTGAGCTCTTAATATTAACACTAACTAAGTGGTGCCTGTTCCTAATTTTCCATTTAAATAACATGGAAAAAAATTTTCTTATTTTTGTAGCTAGACATTTTAGCATTGTAAAACTAATTTTGGTAGGAAATTTATTTTTTCATACAGTAAGCCGTTCTGAAGATATTCAAACTTAAAGTTGCAAATGTTTGAAATTATGACTTTTACTTTATTAAACTAATACTGATGACTTTTTTTTATGTCATAAAAATTAGTTTCAAGAAAAAAGTTATTTGGAATTATCTTTTTCTCGATGACACTCCAAATCAGATAACTCATTTCAAACGCCCTGGTGCTATGCACCATACGAGATGGATGGCAAAAGCTATTAATAGTGTGAAAATATTTCTTTTTCAGGAGTGAATTTAAATTAATAGCTCATGAAACAAAAAATCTCAGAGAAATTTGCATTTTTGTTGTTTTATTCTACATCAAAGCTTGGTTTACCTCGACTTCTGCAATTATCGCTCCAAAACAAGATTTAAAACTAATTCAAAAATTAATTCTATACCAAGAACTAAACTTATCTGTCTCATTAGCTGCTATCAAACAATTATCCGATCATTTGTGGTATCTGAATAAAGATTTAGCTCTTTTTGCACTGTTTAATGAACATGTTCCTGTTGAAATTAAGAGGCAAATGTTTGAATTGACGAAGAGCCAGGAGATAACTATAATTGTTGAAAAACGACGCACAGAAGACAAAAACTCACCAGAAATATTTTTAAACAAAAATATGAGTGACTTTATTTCAAAACAACCATTGAAACTTTTTGATAAATTTGATTTGCCGTACGACTTTCTGGATGAAGATGTACTAATGTGGCCAGATAATGAAAGTTATCAAGAGAATTTGGAGTGTTTCGAAAAATTTAAAGTTGTCAATGACGTTGCAGAACGTGATGTCGCATTAGTAGAATAATATAATAGATACTTAACTAAAGATGAGGAACAAATTCAATATTTATTACAAATGGTAAAAAAGCAACGTCGAAAATATTCAAATTATAATAAAAAAACTCTTCAACAAATATAGTTATTCAGATAAGATATAATTTCTATTAGGTTTTCAAAATTTTAGTATTCTAATTGTTAAAAAGCTTTTTTTTACACACACATGGATATATTAGCTTATCTACGCACAGACTACAAAACGAACAAGTATATCATTGCGTTCAACTGAACGAATATATTTCATATCCATTCTAGGTAGTGAGAACACTGCAACAAAATAAAATCTACCAATCACAGTTCATATTTTGGACACCCAACTACTATTATTTTTAAAATTTTAAATAAGTGACAATTCTGTCAAACTAATTGTTAGCATATTTTATAATTATTAAGATTAAATATACATTAAAATAAGTTCTTTTTGTGTAGAGTCGATGAACAATCGCAAATAATAGCATGTCTCTTTTTATTTGAAACATATTTTAAAAAAAATATTAAATTTTAATGAAACTATATGAAATTATTTTAATTACGAGTATTAAAACCGAATTTGTAAAAGTGGACATAGAGGCTTAGACAGAGTGCTTGACTTCCATGCGAAAAGCCGGGGATCGATTCTCGGCACATGAAATTTTTGTTTTTCCATATTTGGTTAATTTTAAAAATCAGTAAAATTTATAAATTATTTTAAAATTAGGTATTTTGTCCTAATAACCTAAAATATTTTTTTAATTCGTAGATTTGCGTTAGTAGGTCGTAGAGAAAATATACTGTACAACTCGAGTGGATTGTCCATATTGCACTCAGACTCTTTAGCACTCCACCTACGGCATCGTGCCCAAATTTCGTCTTCGTGCGTTATGGCCGTCATATCCACTCTTGTTGCACAAATTACTATTTTTAATCTATAAAATAATAATTTTACTGAACCTAATTCATAATTACTTTTTTTTAACAGTTAATTAAAAAATAAAATAACATCTAAGACGAAATTTTTAATATTTTAGCTTTCTAAAAATATTAGCGCACAAAAACCAGTTCTCTGATTAATAATAATTTTTAAGACATAAAAAAGTCATCAGTATTAGTTTAATAAAATAAAAGTCATAATTTTATACATTTGCAACCTTAAGTTTGAATATCTTCAAAACGGCTCACTGTATGAAAAAATAAATGAGAACTTTTTTGTAGAGCGTTCAATTGCCTACCAAAATAATTTTTGAGTTAATTTTTACAATGCGCAAATGTCAAGCTACAAAAATAAATTTTTTTCCATGTTATTTAAATGGAAAATGGAAAGCTAGGAACAAGCATCACTAAATGTTAATATTAAGAGCTCAAAATTTTAGAGGCTTTTTTTTTACCTTCCTGAAAGTTTTTAATATTTTTTCAGTTGAAAAAAAAAAGTTGATCAAAAATGACACACCCTATAGGTAATAGGAAATGTCATTTTCATCAGGCACGTAGAATTAAATATTGTCATCTTTTAAAAAGAAGAGACTCACGCGCCTGCTCATTAATTGCGTATTGTGCAGGATAGGATTGACACATTTAAACACAATTAAAAAATATTAAGAATTTAAATACAGTAAAACTAATAACTTTACAGATTTTACGAGATTTATAAAAATAAAAATCTGATGTGTCCAACACATAACTTTTCTATCTAGTTATTACAGGCTTTTTCCGGTTCTTTTGTACAACCTATTGCAGCACCTATGTAAATGTTTAGAGGACAAACTTAATATATACATTTTCCACAAACATCCAATTCTGAAAAATTCGAATTTTTTACATTTTGTAAAATTTTTCGAATACGGACCATTTTAAGAAAATTTTGGATAAAACAATAATTATAGAGAATAATATTGGAAGTAATTTTTATTGAAAGAATTTTCTTCTCCAAAAACAGATAACAGATATATTACATAAAATATAAAAACGACCTTTTATAAAGTACCCCCCAGATATTACGACTCTGTCCAAAATGTAATTAGTTCACCTCAGGCCGGAATAAAACTTAAGTTCAAAATTTAATGTTTTTTCTTTATCCATTTTTAAGTTTTCTTCAAAATTCGAAATTAACATTTGTTCACAAATATCTTGAATACAGTCCATTTTAGAGAAATTGTGTATAGGATAAGAATTATAGAGAATTATATCAGAAAGAACTCTTATTTAAATAATTTTATTAAAAATTCGATTTTATTACATTTTGTAAAATTTCTCGAATACGGGCCATTTTAGGAAAATTTTGTATAGGAAAAAAATTAAAAAGAATAATAATATAAGTAACTTTTATTTGAAGAATTTTCTTCTCCAAACGTAAACAACAGATATATTCCAGGCCCGGCCCTTTATATCTATTCGCACCTTAATAGTACAGTAAATAGGTTAACGTCATGTTATTAAAATTAAAACGTTTCTATTGTAGTCACTAAAATTCCCATTAATTTATTCCATAAATTAATTTCTAAAATTAATTTCCGTCTATGAACATTTTCAAGACCCCCTGTAACTAATGTTTC